GGCACAGGGATGCTGCCTCTTAACGGGTGAAAGGTTTTCAAAACTTCAAGCTGGAGAGATGGCTCAGAGGTGGAGAGCACTGGCTGCTCTTCCAGAGGACCTGAGTTCAATTCCCAGCACCCACATGGTGGCTCACAACCATCTGTAATGAGATCTGGTGCCCTCTTCCACTGAGCAAGGATATATGCAGACAGAACATTGTATACATAATACATAAATAAATCTTAAAAAAAAAAAACAATTAAAAAACTTCAAGTAGAAGCTGGGGTAATGGCACTCACCTGTCACCCCCGAGGCAGGAGGGCTCAAACACATGGAAGAGCAGAAGGCTGAGGGGGGTGAGGTGAAGCTCTGTGGAGACGCAGGTGAGTATGGAGTTTCCTGAACAAGCTCGAAGCCCTGACTTCAATCCCCAGAACATATTTTAAAATGCCAGACATGTGTGCTGGAGAGATGGCTCAGCAGTTAGGAGCACTGGCTGCTCTGCAGAGGACCCGGGTTCGATTCCCGGTACCCACATGGTGGTTCACAACCATCTGTAATGCAGTTCCAGCAGACCTGACGCCCCCATCTAACCTCTGTGGACACCAGTCACGCACCTGGTGTACATACAAATGTACAGGCAAAACACTCACACATAAAATGAATAAATCTTTAAAAAGTAAGATGAAATAAGAAGCCAGGCATGGGGGATGGAGAGAGCCTTGCAGAGGACCAGGGCTGAGTTCCCAGTACCCACAGAGCAGTTGACAATTGTCATTCCTTTTTCAGGGCTCTGGTGTCCTCTTCTGACCTTTTTAGGTACTACACACACACACACACACACACACACACACACACACACACACACGGTATACATACAGGCATGCACAACATTCATATACATAACACACACAAGAAATAAATAATAAAAATATATGAAGCCCATCTTCTAATCCTATCACTAGAGCAGCAGAAACAGGTGGATCCTGGAGCTGGGGGTCCAGCCAGCCTTGTTTCTCAAAAAACAAGGTAGATTGGCACCTAAGGAATGATGCCAGATGTTGTACTCTGGTTTCTGCATTCATGTACGTGTGCGTGTGCGTGTGCGTGTGCGTGTGTGTGTGTGTGTGTGTGTGTGCACATTGAAATGCATGTGCTCCCTTAGTACACACACACACACACACACACACACACACACACACACACACACACACGAAGTGGATATGATCAGAAAGAGTAAGATTCCGATTAGGGCACAAAGAAAGGCCCCTAGAGGATCTTCCACATCCTTCTGGTGGGGAGCTTTGATGGAAGCAACCCCTCCTTGGGAGGCTGAGATGTCACCGCAGAGTCCCCCCCTTCCTGTGTCCCTGAGGCACCCAAAAGTGTTTAAAGCCAGAGAATGAGGCTCCTAAATGACATCTGAGGGACACACTATGGTGCCGGCACAGCCAGCTCGATGACATCAGAGTGATTCGCTACGCGGGCATAAGCTAGTCATGCCCTGGGGTTGAGATGAGGAAATCCAGGAGCTCAGCAGCTGAGAGATGCGTGGTCGGTCCTCAGCCCCAGGGAACGGTCTCTCAGCGGGCTGATGGAAGGTCTGCCTTTGGAGGCAGGGTCTGAGGAAGCAGCCTTGGAGGAGGTCTACCTGGCGTCAGTGACGATAGGACAGAGTTACCCAAGAGTTTCTGGGTTCCCGCACCCCGATTTTGGTGACTGCTGGATAGCTCTCACTGTAGGCAGTAACTGGGACAGATTAGGCACTCAATATATTTGTTGTTGTTTCGAGACGAGGGTGGGGTGGGGGCTGGGCTCACTCTCTGGCCCAGGCTGGCCTTGAACTCCTGACAATCTTCCTGCGGCGTCAGCTTTCAGAGAGCTGGGATTACAAGGCAAGGCTCTCACCTGGCTCTGGGACTGACTCAGTTTACCCTCCTGGCTGACAGCCTCGGCCATGAGAAGGAGTACCTCCCACAGGGGCATCACGAAGCCTCGGGTCCACCTGGGCCCGGGATCAGGACCCGGATTCTCCATTGGGAGGTGCCTGAACAAGAAAAAGCAATTCCCGCCTGGCGGTGCCCCGCCCACAGTGACGTAATGAGCAGCGGCGGGGATCCCGACCCAAGCCCTTCCTTGGGGATGAGGGAGGAGACTAACCCGGATCGGTGGCCCGGCAAGGTTACATAACCGGTCCTCGTGTCCCGCGGGACGGTGCCGGACGTCCTGGCCGGGCTGGGGACAATGGACGGGGAGAGGCTGTGCCTCCTGGCGCCTGAACGTGGCCAGCACCCCCTTTCTGATTCACCCGAATTTCCGGCTCTTTGTGACCTTCCCAGGGAGAGCTCTGGTGTCCCTCAGATTTCACTGCGGTCCGACACCCAACAATTCCGCTCCGCAAACACCCTGCGAGTATCTGTCCTCTACACCACCCCACCCCGGTCCCTACCTACCCTTACAACTCCCTCTTGTAGGTCCAGACCCCCCTAAATTTCTAGACCCCACACTTCTTTTTGGT